TGGTGTTTGTAAGTAGGATCACAAGTCTGCATCTTGTACAGCAATTAACCACTAAGAAGAATATATGCAGTGTATTATTTGTTGAAACTGTACTTTTGATTTGATTTGAAACTGTCTCATTGCTTTATGTTTATCAATAAAACTTTGAAAAGAAAAAAAAAAGTAACTCCCAAAGCCAAAAAAAAAATTGGTGAGACCACTTTCTCCAGTGTCTGAAAGCCTGGTGACATTTGTCAGCCTCATGAAGCTGACAGCTAAGCATGTCACACCTGGTCCCTACTCTCACCCCAGACAACCGTGGATTAGGTTAGCAAGGTATGAAGCAGCCGCCCAGTATTCTAACTGTGAAAGGGGAAACATCTCGGGGCATCTGGGGGTCGGTTTGCTTTGATGCTCTCTGCTAGTAACCTAGCATTTTACAGATCCGGTGAGGCTGGGGATGTAGCTCAGCGGCCAGTGCCTGCCTGGCAAGTGTGCGGTCCTTCCGATTCCCAGAATCAACAACAAAGACCTGTTCCAGTAAGATACAGTTTTCAGGGGTTTATGCTTAATTCTTCCAAACCCCCAGGGTGCTATGACTAAGCCATTGCCTTGGTCTCGGGTGTCGATTCTTACCTGTCCGCGTTGGCAGTGTGCAGTGGTTCCATCCAGCCTGGGCAGCTGGCATGCGCAGAACGCATCTTGCTGTGTCGGGAAGAGCGTGAGAGGGCTGTCAAAGCACCGCCGCTAAAGTGCGCTTCTCTCTCCCCAGTACTCCCCGAGCATGACGATGAGCGTGTGACGCCCCGAGCCGGGACACGCCGGAGTCGCCCTCGCTCCGCGCAGCCTCCGGAGAGCCTCCTCCGCAGTGTACAGCGTACAGATCCAGCCGCGCCGCGCCAGCCCGTTTCTGTCCTGCTCTCTCCCCTTTTTTGTGAAGAAAGCGGGTCCAAACGCAATTCAGACAACTGCACGGAGCGGCACAGTAGAATTGCCTGAGACCGAACTGCGAATAACTGTCTGTGTATGTGTGTGGGCAGAGGATGCGCCGCGTGTCAGGCGTCACGCGCACGCACGCACGCACGCCCCCGCGCCTCGACCCACGGGACATTGTAAAATATGACGTGACATCTTACGTAGAAATCAGTAGGGACTTTTATTCCATTCTTTTTTTCACGTTTACATTTTAATCATTCAAAGTCGCTCCTGCCCCTCCTTGAGCAGTTTGTGCTGTGTATACCACTGCTTTATATAAGTTATTTTTTAAGGTGAACTCAGATGTTGCGGTTTTGTAAATGTCTGCGATCATGGGTAGGAATAAAATCGCTTATTTGAGAGCTTTCATTAAATTGTGTCTGATGCAAGTCACCGTGAACCTCCGTGTGCTGTCTCAAGAAATGGAGCGAGCACAGCTCCGCGCTCGCGTGCACCGGCGTGTGGGTCCCCGGAAGGGCGCTTGGCACTTTCTCTTTGAGGAGAACGAACACTCCGGTGGAGGAGTCGCGAGGGCCCGCAGCGTGCGCCCCGCCGCGGCTGCGGCAAGCGGAGTCCTTGGCTTTTAGGTGACACGGAAATCGTCAGCCCAGACGACCCAGAGCACAGCAGTGACGCGACGGGGCCGTCGTGTTTTAACGATGGGTTTTCTGCTTAGCATATTAAGCCCAGACGTGGTGGCGAGACTCCTGGCTGGACCAGGCCTTCTCCAGGTAGATGTTTAGCGACTCATGGCGTGAATGCCGTCTGGCTTTGCTTCAGGTGAGGACAGGTGCACGACGTTGCCGGCAGACGCCGCGAAAGGGATGAGTCTCGGCACAGGTGGCGGGAGGGTCACCGGACGCCCAGCGCGCCCAGGCTGCGCCGCCGCCGCCGCTTCCCCCAGACCCTGCTGGCAGTCGAGGCCCTGTCCTTTCTGTGTCCCTCCTCCCTGGGGCAGGGCTGGCTCGAGCTCTAAAGCGCATGCCTGCAGGAGCCTAGCTGCTTCGGCCATTGAGCTCAGGGCCGCTGTGTACTGACAGCTGCAAAAGAATGAAAAGTGCTAGAAGGAGAAGGAGAAGGAGGAGGAGGAGGAGAAGGAGAAGGAGAAGGAGAAGGAGAAGGAGAAGGAGAAGGAGAAGGAGAAGAAGGAGAGGAAGAAGGACTGATCCCTTAACAAAGCTCCTGGCTCTATACTTTCCAGATCTCTGGGTTTTGTTTAATTGTACGTACAGAACAGCAGAGTCCTACTAAAAAATGTGAAGACCCTCACCCGTGACTGGACGACAATGTAGGGATTCTTTGTGTTCCAGTTGTGACACAGCTCAATCCCACCCAGGAGGAGTCTTCTCTTTCCAGGGCTCCTGGTCTCTAAGTGGAAATTCAGCCACGTACTTGCTAGTGTAGCCCATATAGTTGATTTCCCTTCAATCCGTAATAATTTATTCCTCCTTAAAACTACAGATTTCATGTGTACATGACCGGGGAGCCACACAGAGCTGTTGAAGGAGATAAAAGAATTGGGATTGAATTTATATTGCAGATTGAAACTGCAAAGAAAGGGGACCAGCTAGTAGCGCATGTGTCCGGTACCAGAGGCCTGTCATGGAGGACTCAGACCTCAAGCTAGGCACCTATGGGTGGCACTTTGTACAGACACCTGACTTACCAAGGCCAGCTGCAACCACCACTTCTTGTAACAGTGCTACAAAGACAGTTCTTCAATTATGCTTAATCTTATAATGCCAGGATTTTTAGACATTTTGTTAACTGTCCTACATTGTTGCTGATCTTGAATTTCTTTTATTTGCCTTCAGAGAAGATGTTGTTTCTGATCACAAAGAATTCTGGGCTTGATTTTCTTGCTATTATTTTGATGTAAACCTGGAATATGAGTGGTGCTATGGGCCCCATTGTTTCTAACATACTTGGTCAAAAAGATAAAATTTGTTTTTAAGATATAGCCATCAGTTCATCGTAACTGATTGGCTTATTTCTGTTTCATTCTTGGAACCCAGATTTAAAATAGCTCTTTCAGATTATTTAAATTTTCCTGAAATAGTTATTTTTGAGGAGAAAATTATATTAAAGAAAACTAGCATACAAAGCGCACACTTTTCATATCCACACAATTCGCTCACATCCTGATTATCTGAGCATTAACTTTGTTTAGGCTTTGGATCATTTAGCATCACCATTTAGCCTGTGTCTCCTACGTTTCCACCTCTACAAGTGTGTTTGTACTGCACTGCATATGTGCCGCCTGCCACCAGGACTGTCCTTGCAAGCCTCACTGCACCGTGATAGTGTCGGCCATTCTTACCTACCCTGGACTTGAAATACACACGGAATGCCGGTGAAAGCGTGGCTTCTTTCTGCTTGCTTTGCTTTCTGCTCAGCTGACTGCGGTTGGAAGCGCACATCATTCTTTCCGAGCAGAGCCTGGCCTTTCACCAGCTCCCCACCCCAGCTGCCTGAGAGCAGTGGCCAAGGGTCCATCGACCTGGGGGCGCCACACAGTTTGTGAAAGAATCAGTGTCCCCATGAAGAAGCGGCGGCTTGGACTCTACTGCTGAGAACAGGAGTGTTACAGTGTCTGAGGTTAAGACTTCTCTATCATCAAAAGCCTCATAAATCTCTTGTTGTTGGGGGGCCAGGGAGATGGCTCAGTGGAATAAACGCTTCCCTGGCAAGCACAAAGGCCTGAGTTCAATCCCCAGTTCCTCAAAAAAAAAAAAAAAAAATCTCTTATTGCGCTCCAGCCAGATCCTAGCAGTTTTTCCAGAGGAAGCCACTGCAGGTGTCAGTTTTTGATTGTCATTGCTGATTCTAACCAGTACTCCAAGCTGTGGCTACGTGACTTTGGCATGCATGACTGTCTTTTTGACACTGGTTTTCCCTCTTTTTATGTCCTATAATTCTTTGTCCTAAACAGCACTATTTGATACAAAGAGGTCATAAATAGGTAATGTGAGGAGGTGACATCTAGTACGGACAGAGTTGTTGTGTATTTTCCAGAAATATTAGTCTTATTTGTGGTTTTTATTTGCCACGAGGAGCAGGTGTCTGTATTTTTGCTTAAGGCCTCAAGCATTTGTGAGAATCTCCCTGGCCTGTAGACTGTGCCTCGAGAAATGCTGTAAAAGAGCGGTGCATCCCTGGTAATTCGACTTCCATTTGGCGTACTCGTGTGTGCGCGTCTGTGCGCTTGGGTTGGGGGCGGTAGCCGGAAGTCTGCTCGCCAAACAACCCCGCACACCATGTTCCCAGGATTCTGCAGCTCAGCTTATATTCCTTTCTCTGGCAGCTCTGCAGCTCCAGGAAAGGAGCAGGCAGGAGGCACGGAATGGCAAGGGGCTGCCCGGCTCCACCATGGTGTCCCCAGACCCAGGGCCGACACCTTGTTAGCTTATCCGTGCTGGACCTTTTGATGGTGGTGCATGTCTAAAGTCAAGGGCTCAAATGGTCATTTCCTCCCTGGCCATTTCACCGATCTTGCCAGGCACATGCAGAGATTCCAGGGTGTTCTGTGTACACATTTGTTTATGAGAAATAAATTGGGGGTACTCATTAATTTCACCAGAAGCAGCCACTTTACCATGAACCGTCGCTCAGATTGAAGAGGATGACCTCCAGGTGGAAAGTGCGCCTGAGCCCGCTTTCCTTCCATTTGTGGACTATATTTTCAAGAGAAAATCTCAGCTGAATAGTCTCCCAAGAGTTTCCTCTATTCCATTTTCTCCGTTAACTTAGTGTAATTGGTTTTCCTCCATACAACAATAACTTATGTTAGAAGTTTAAATGTGAATATTTTTACTGTCTACATCTCTAATAATAAAATATAGCGCTCTGTGTAGATATTATGAACACTAAAGCAGGGCGCTGTGCTTCACGCATACAGCAACAGCCTGTCTCGTCCCTCTTTGCACGTTTACTGGTCCTCATCAGGCTAGATGTTTCTCACGTCGACCAGCCCAGTCATTGAAATGTTACCATCTGCTGCTAAAATCCTTAGCATTTCATGTGTAAGATGAGATATGCTGTGAACATAATATAGACAAGTATTAATAGTCACAGGAAAAAATACATAGAAGATTTATTCCCAGCTAACACTGCAGCTTTATCCCACTTGCCCTTTCACACTGGGTGGCTTAGGATCTTCAGGACATAACACCTTGTGATGTCGGCCAAGTTTTTGTCATGTGCTGGTGAAATGGCTCAGTTAGGTGGAGTTAGCCATCTACTTACTAGCAAACAGCAAATCTAAGTCTATCCAGTGCACGAAAGTTAACAACAAATCTGCTTTCAATTGTGCAGAAGCAAAGCTTCTCTGAATATAAATGGCTGATTGAAACCAACGCCTGGCTTCCTACCGGCTGTATTTCAGAACGCTTCACTTTCCTGCCAGGAAGACCACGCTTACAAACAATGTTGGATGAAAGCTGAAGAAGGTGCCATTGTTTCAAAAATAAAAAATGGAGAAGTCTTTACAAATAGAATTCTTTACTCATGATAGCCATCCCCTTATGGAATTGTTTAATTGTGATTTTAAGATGTTAAGATATTTTCTTATTACATGTGTTAAATTGTCACCCATAATATCTTCCTGGGAAGATTATTTGTAAGATTTTTATAAACACACAATTTATGTAACAACATAATGGAGTCTGGGGTGACTCGGTAATCTATTCTTAATTCGATAATGGCCACCAGCTACCCGACATGCTTTGTAAATTTGCTGTGTGCGTGCATGTGTGTGTGTGTGTGTGTGTGTGTGTGTGTGTGTGTGTGTATTCTGACATGTACATTATTATATTACCCTCTGATGGATTTATCACTTAATGTTTCTGCAAAAGTACCCGAGCTATTCATGTAAGGGGAGAAGGCACCAGAAGATGTGCACGTGCCCTCTTTTGGCACGGCTTTACATTTTATTCATATAAATACAGCTTTTCATTTGCAGTTTCTGCCCTTTCATTTCTAGCCTCTACCTTGATACTTATTGGAAAAGTAAAGAAACCGTTCGTATGAAGCCAGTGGCTTCTGAGTGGCAATTCAAAGCACGGCTAGTGTGGACATCTGTGCAGGTAGTTGGGCTGGACGTTATGACTTGAATCAAAATCCAGGATTTTATACTATCACTATTTATATACATTTATGAAAAAGCCATAATGATTGGCTGGCTCTGTGTGGTCAGATAGTCTTTGAAAGTCAAAAATAATGTTGTTAGCAAAAAAAAAAAAAAAAAAAAATCCTGTGAATAGAGGAAATTTTAGCATTTTATTCCAAATAGAACTACACGTAACACAGAAATCTGAAGTAATTATGCAGATAATTCCTTCAGTAATGTATTTTTCCTCAGTTTGTTTCATCTTTCTGGCAAACTGCTCAGATATTTGCCTCAGTTTACCATACACATTTGCCTAAATAAGTTCCGAAGTAGGGCCGTAGACTGTTGTACAGATGAGCCCGAGGAGAGGAGGGGAAGAGCTGTAATTGGAGTATGGGAATGCGTCCGTCGCGCTTGCAGCAGAGGGCTGAGCGGTGGTTCCACGCGAATGAGTGTGGGCCTGACTGGAGCAGGCTGTGGGCTGCAGTGACGCGGCGGACTGGCACGCGGTGACCGCTGCGGGAGGCGTGGAGCCCCCGGCCGGGCCGTCTCGCCGAAGGGCAGAGGGCGCCCTAGTCCCGGGATGTCTGGGGCCTGCAGGCAGGCAGCACGGCCGCACAGGCTGCGCTCTAGCCTGGGCGCGCGTGGAAGCCCTAGGACCGAGAATTCGCGCACAAGTTTTTATGTCAGCTATTTCTAACTGTGCGACAGTGGTGCTTCTTGGTGGCAGAAGATTATGCGGCCTGGGGTGGGGGGCTGCACCACGAAACAGGCCCGCAGAATCTGTTTAGCTCTCTGTAGCTGCCTGTGCCGGAGGAGCCGCCTGAACGAGGCAGACCGGCGCGAAGGAGACGCGTGCGTCCGCCCAGCTCCGAGCACGCCCGGCCGCCAGGGGAGAGGCCTCCGCTCCGGAGCACTTCAGCGCGAGGCCGGCCTTAACCTCAGGACTCCGCGCGATCTGTATCGCTGAAGAGCCCGCCGTGACGATCGGCGGGTCACATTGAAGAGCGAATGCAGGCTTCGTTCCCTACGCAGGCAGGGTGGGAGAGTTCGGGGCAGCTTCTTAGGAGACCCTCCAGCCCGCGGCCCCGGCGGGGCTGCCCTGCCCTCAGCGCGGGCCCTGCACTCCCACGGCGGTCCCCCCACCTGCAGCGAGCTCGGGTTCGCCCAAAGCTGGCCTTTGCCTCTGACGCGCCAAGGCGCTCTGGGGAAGGAGGGGTACTCTCCCTGCCTCTGCAAGATGTTAGGTGAGAAGAATTTACTTCTAATGTGCTTTTAGTAACAGATGAGCAATTATATATACTATGCAAGCTAATATTGGTTACATAAAGGACTTCAGCATTGCTTGTATACCATACAGAAATGGCTTATGAATTGAAAAATAGTCTTTGTTTTAATCTCTTATATTGCAGTGCTCGCTGTTACCATCAAGTTAGGGGTCATTCACTGACGGGGCATCACACCTCGTGGTCTCAAATGTGTCTTAAGAGAACATACGTATCCATCATTGAAAGTGATGCTAAATTTAATTTCACAACTCAACATGCAGCTAAAACTGTAATAACCAGCTTCTAGACACATTTTTACCTACTTTCTTCGCATTTGTTATAGAAGTACCCACCTCACCACAAGTTTTTGATCAAATGAAAAATTCAAGAGTTGAACTCAAATCCATTTTTTTAAAAAGATAGCCCAAAAAAATAAATAAAATAAAAAAGATAGCCCAACTACTACTTTTTAGAAATGTAAGACTTTCATAAAAGTCTTACATGAAAATAGAAGGCCTGGTAATCAGCAGAGATCTATCTCATCAGAAAAACCCTCAAATTAGTGCCCCAAATCAAAACTAAAATGCTAAGTAAAAAAGTTATTGAAATCTGCTGAACCAAATAAGCAGCGGACATGCCATACCAAACATGCATGAGCAGTAGGTTGGAAAATCCACAGCCCCGGTCACTGAGATAATCTGTGCCACGAAATCAGGCCATCACCAAATTCTCCGTATTAGTCATTCATATTTAAAATTCCATTTGTTTAGCAAAAGTATCTTTAAATAGCACGATAATCTCAGGCTTTTCTCAAAAATTGTAGTCTCGTTGAAAGATACTTGGTTGTGCACTTCCACAGCCAGTGCCCTCGATGTAGAATGTGGTGTGCCTCTCTGAGAGGCATGTGGACTGTGGGCCATTCCAGAGTGGGCCTTGAAGTCACTCCAGGGGTGGTGGAGTAGGATGCGGGGAGGGCGGCAGCTGTCTGGTCATCTTCACTTTCCAGATTATTTGAAACCTTGTGTGGAACTGTCTTTACTATTGTATTTTCGTGTTCTAGGGAGGTCTGGGTAACCTTTCTGTGTAGGGGGAGTTACTGCCCATACATTTGCAAACATGAATAGCAAATGTTTTTCCCTCCAATCACTGGAAGTATTTTGCTGTTTTCCATTGCCAGTGGGCACTTTAGAACATATAAAATGCAGATTGCAAAAGTGGGTGTTCCCCCAAATTTTCACATGCACTGGAAGTTTGTTTAAAATAAATAAAAAGGGGCCAGGGAAGTGGCTTAATAGAATAAGTGCTTGCCTGACAAGCACAAAGGCCTGAGTTCAATCCCCGCTTCCACCAAATAAATAAATAAATAAATAAATAAATAAATAAATAAATAGCTTCCTGGTTTATTTGGTAGGCAGTGTTCAGTCTTGTCACATTTACTATGATCTGAGTTCGCACACTGGGTCACAAAAATCGATATTGTGTTTGTCCTACGTGTGAATTAAATCCCAGAAGGGCATAAACTCAGCCATCTGAAGTATTCAAGCAGACAAGTGACTCAATCACAACTCTTCCATTTGAGCAGCAGAAGTAGATGTACTTATTCCTAATGAGTAAAAAATTAGCATTTACTAAAACTAATGATTAATCACCAAGCAGACCCATAGACTCTAGCTCAGAAGTTAGATGCATCCAGTGAGTTCTTGACCTATTTTAGGGGAGGCCTTCTGCTGAAAACAAGTGTTTCCTCTAGGCTTTATATTGTGCATTCTTTAGCAGGGATTTCCATTGTGTTTGCCAAAAAAAGCTACATGATTCCAACTGTTTTTCAGATACAAATGGCAATAATTAAAACCCTGCGAATGTATTTTGGGAAGAAAAACCTATTTACAAAGATGAAGTTGGGAAATCAGGTAGTTCGTCAAAAGAGAGTCACAAAAAATAAGGAAGGAAGTCTAGCTTTGGCGAGTACGTGTGTGCAGGGGTTATTAGTGTAGCTCAGCTTTCAAAGCCTTGGAGTAAATGCTGTCTTATTCCACAAATTAACGTTCATATTTTTCCACTTGGTTAAAAGACAATGATTAGCTTAACTTCCCAATGTGCTGAGAGTTTAGTTATTTGGCTACAGATTTTCACTGTCAGTGATTGTGTTAAAAGAATATGTTAAAAAATGTTCAGGTGCTCGCTTCAGCAGCATGTGTACTAAAATTGGAATGATACAGAGAAGATTAGCATGGACCCTGTGCAAGGATGACTCGAAATTTGGAAGCATTCCATATTTTTTAAAAAATTTCAGGATTAGTTATGAAACAGATCGATGATGTGAAAGACCTGGTTGCTGAGGATGTTTGTATGAGGAACTGAACAGAAAAGCAGTGCATGCAATTTGGAATGTAAACACAGCCTCATAAAATTAGTTTTCCATTAGCCTATCATTACTCTCCTAAGAGTTGTAGCCCAGGCAATGGGATATGAAAGAGGCTATGCAAGCTTCTTTGACCTTGATAGTCCAAGACAAGAGAGTAATGATATTCAGAAAGATATCAGAGAGAAGGGCCAGGGAGAGCCACTTACCAACAGGGCTTCTGCCTCGGTCCACCTCTGGGAGAAGAACCTGCTCACCCACCCGAGCAGGGACGTCCTGCTCCCGTTGCTACAAGTTTGGCAGCCCAGCTTCTCTCCCTGCCCCCACCTCTTTCTCTCTGTTTGTTTGTCTGTTTTGATAAAGGGTCTCACTTCACAGTTTGATCTGAGCTTGCACGCACTATGTAGCCCAGGCTGGCCTCAATCTTACAGCGATCCTCCTGCCTCAAGCTCCCAAGTGCTGAGATTCTAGGTATGTGCCATCACTCAGGCTTTTTCTCCTTTTAGCACTAGGGACAGAACCGAGGCTCCTACACATTGTAAGTAAGTGCACCTCAAAGCCACGTAAGGCGAAAGAGATGGAAAGAAGGTGGGGGATGGGTGAACATTTCAGCAAAGGGACAACAAAGCCCTTTTTCTTTGCACAATAAGAACATGACATAGGAAAGGCTCACACTGCGCGCTGAAGAAATGAGTTATGCATCATGCATTATCACGGCTAGCTGACCTCTAACGACTGATATGAATTTCCATTATGAGTACAGATCCTCTCTCCTCTCGCTTCCCTCCCTCCCCTTTCCTCTCCCTCCCTCCCTTCCTTCCTCCCCACACCTCATCGCTCATGTCAGAGTCCTGCTGTCTGTAGGACCTGCATGTAGTCTTACAGGAGAAGTACTGTATAGGATCATCACGATGATCAGAGCTTCACAAATAGCTGCCACCTTGCAAGGATTCACGTAGCTCTCAAAGCGCCTCCTTTATTCTTAGGAATGCAGGCACTAGCAGGTGGAGTCTGATCTCTTTATGGAAGATTATTGAGCCAACAAGCCCCCCCATGGAAAGACATGTAACTGCAGGACAAGCAGTATAGACCTAAATGCTGGGGCCCGTGCTAGTGGCCTCTCCCAGTTACTGACATCTTTCCCATGTGGATCATTACATCTGCTAAGAAGAGTCTCATTTCAGGACTGGACAATCTCTCAAGATGTTGACCTCAGGACTGACCCTCCTCCCTGTCTCTACCTTAGGACCATTTTGTGCTCAAATCAGCACACGGCTGCCCTACCCAGTCTGTCTCCATGGCACCCTTCCACTCCCTGGAGTCCCACTGTATCAGTGTTGGTAAACACTCAGCACTCACAAAGCAACAGGCATCACTTCTGGGGAGGGCCACATACCTCAGCACGGTGGTGGCAAACCCATGGTTCACAGAGCCACTGTCAGGATGCAAACCAAGTCACTCCACCTTCACCCCAGCAACCAAGCATCAGATAGCTACACACACACAGGCTATGCGCATGCTCGGAAAGGAGTAGCAGCCCCAGGCAATGATGTCACAAACTTTGACTGATTAGGTACAGCTTATCTGAGTCTTTACAAGGTGGTCAATGTCCAGCTAAGGAGATACATGTTATATATACAGAAAAAAAAAAAACCTGCAAAAAAGGAGGGGGCAAGAGATTTTTTTCCTTCCCTTTTGTTTCTGGTGCTTTTGCTATCTTCCACTACCATGAACAGTTGCCACTGAGCTATGTCACCCTGCTTTAGAGCCAGCTGAAAAAGGCCTGAACACTACACAAACTGTGAGTTAAATAAGCCTTTCCCCTTTCATTTGAGGACTGGATATTTTGTCTCAGCAATGGGAGAAAAAAAGCAAAAACAGGATTTGGTACCAGGAGTGGGGTCCTGGACAATACCTATCATGTGATTTAAGAGCCTTTGTGAAGAGATTGGAGAGGTTTGGAGATGTCACCTGAAAGAGTAGCACTATAACACTTTAGGCTGTTCTATATGGGAGATTCTGGTCAGAGCTCAGAAGACCAGAAAGCTGATAGAACTCCTTCTGGTAAAGACCAGGCTCAGGAGGTTTCTGCTAAGAAGAAAGCCAGCCCTGACTGTTGGGCTCCAAACGCTGTGTTATGGCTTGGCAGAAAGTTTGTCTGCATTTTGTATGTGTACAGAGATTTTGCCTAAAACTGAGATTAATCTGGCAGAAGAAATTTCAAGGCAGACAAGCATTGAGGCTGTGGCATGATTACTGTTTGGGGCTTTTAGCCAGATATATGATGAGAATCAAGAGCAAAGAGCCCAGCAGAATGATTTAAAATATTGCAAGTTTGGCCAGAAAGGAAGCTCCAGTAAAGCTGTGCACTACAGCCATAGAGTTGAGGTGCTCTCCATTGCTGAGAAGGAACCAGAGAATTTAAAAGATGGTCTGGGGGCTTCACAAGAAGCAGCAAGTCTCCACCCTTTACAGCCTCAAAACTGCAGTGGCGAAACACTTTGAGGAGAAAGCTATAAAGCACCATCTTCCAGAATGGTGGCAGCCACATCATGTTTCAGAATGATGGTAGCATAGAAAATCTGTTCCTCAAAACTGGATTCGGAGTGTTCATTGACCCAGATACTCCATCCCTACAGCCAAGAGAGAGGGAAGCCTGACTACTTCTTCAGCTGTCAGTGGACCTTGGTTGGCATCATCCATGTGGTGCTGGTTTTAGGTGCATGCATAATGCAAGAGTTGTGGGATTAATCAGGCTTCCACCTAGATTTCAGGAGGTCTGGGAGACTGCACTGCACCCCTGAGAGAGCACTGTGTGCAGCTGTGATTGTGAAGCCAAATGTGCAGAGGAGACCCTACAAGTGTGGGAAAGCCAGGAATGTGGATTGTCTAAGGGAAGATGCAAGGAGGGTGTGAAGCAGACCCAAGAGAGAAGCTGTGGGAGCTGTGATCACCAGCAGTGTGGAGTAGCCCAATTTTTTTTTTTTTTTTTTTTTTTTTTGGTAGAACCAGGGATTGAACTCAGGCCCTTGCGCTTGCCAGGGAAGTGATTATTCCACTGAGACATCTCCCAGGCCTAGTCCATCTCTAAGAGTTGCCAAAGTCCCAACAGTTTCAGCATTGCTGAAAAGTCCAAGTCGCAAGTTTCCTCCAAAGTCTAAGGCAAACTCTTAGCTATGAGCTCCTGTACAAATGAAAAGTTAAACACTTTTAACATTCAGTGGCACAAGAAAAACATTATCATTCCAAAAGGTACAAGCAGCAGATGTCCCAGTTACTCTTCTCTCCTTGCTGGGACAAATACCCAACACCAAAATGAAGGAAGAAAAGGTTTATTTAGTTCACAGTTAATGGAGGTTTGAGTCCATACTCAGCTGGCTCCAAGGCAGAGCGGCACAGTGCAGAGGGCAGCAGATCATGGTGGTGACAAAGAGCAAGAGCAAAAGGGAGGAGTATCAGCAACCATGGCAACAGAGAGGACGTCTGTCTCCCTTAAATTGCATTCAGGCTACCTACCCCAGGCTGTGAGTAGTAGTCACACCTATAATTCCGGCAGCAGTCACACCCATAATCCCAGTGGATCATGATTTAATCACAAACTCTCGAAATCTGCCCCATGAGTGTTTGAAGCTTTGGGGGAACAAATACACACAAACCATAACAGCAGGATATAAAGCACTGGGACCAAAGCAAGTCCAAAATCTAGAAGGACAAACATTAAGTCCCGTGGTTTTATGGGCAACACCTGAAGCAATCTGTAATTGTTGTGAGCTCTAAAAACCTTACGTGGCTCCACCACTATGGCACATCTGCTGGTAGCTCCCGTGGCTTTTTTCTGGGGCTGGCTTTGCTCCCTCCTTGCAGCTTTTTTCAGACAATCTATGTTTCTGGCTTTTTTTTTTTTTAAACTTTTGGGGTTTTCACTGAATAGGCTTTTCATTCATAGCTTTACACACTGCCCTGTCAGGGGCACACTGCCTGGTCTCCCAGACCTTTTGAAATCTAGGTGCAAGCCTTCTTAATCTCAGAATGCATTTTGAATGTACCTAAAACCAATGCCATGTAGATTATGCCAAAGTCTGCTGCCAGCTGGCGCAGTAGCCAGGCTCATTTTTCTTGGCGGTAGGGGTTGAGTGCCTGGATCACTGAGCACTCTGACTGCAATTTTTAGGAACTAATTTATGCTGTCGCTATTCCGGAAACTGGTGTGACCACCACCTCCATTTTGGAACATGGGGTTATGCGGCTTTCTCCTCAAAGTAAAGTCTCTCACCCTGATGGTTCTTGCTGCAAAGGGCAAGAAGCTGCCACCTCCTGTGACGTCCTCAAGGACACCTGTTTTCTTTTCCTGTTTTTCCTGACAATGGAGATCTCAGCTCCATCTTTGCAGTCCACAGACTTCCTGGCACCTTTTTTTTTTTTTTTTTTTTTTTTTTTTTTTTTTTTTTTTTTTTTTTTTTTGCCAACCTCACAACATTTTAAATCATCCTGCTGGACTCTTTGCTCTTGACTCTCAACATATATCTGACAAAAAGCCCCCAACAAAAGCCATGCCACTGCCTCAACATTCAACTGCTTTGAGATTTCTTTTGCAAGATTAACTAGTCCACTGTGCTTTATCTTAGTTCCAGGCAAAGTTTCTGCCCAGGAGCAAAATGCAGACAAACTTTCTGCCAAGCCAGAACACAGTTCATCTGCAGTCAACAACCAGTGCAGTCTTTCTTCCCAGAAGAAACTTCCTAGCCTGGTCTTTATAGGCAGGCTTTCTCTCAGTATTCTGGTCTTCTGAGCTCTGACCAGAATCTTACATGCAGAAGAGCTGAAGATGCTCCGTCTCTTTGCTAGTAGGTGACATCTCCAAGCCTTCTTATCTCTTCCCAGAAGCCGTTCTCAGAGGCTCTTGAATGACATGACCAGG